AATGAGTATAAACTGATAAATTAAAATTCTTCCTCCTCACAGGGAGATTCTGGTGGTCCTCTGGTGTGTCATGGGTTTGCTGTTGGGGTTGTTTCTTTCAACTATAACGCGAACTGCAATTACCCCAATAAACCCAACGTCTATACCGACATCTCAAAATACCGTAAATGGATCGACGAGGAAAAAAAAAGATTGAGTAAAGTAATTTAAGTAAAAAATTTACTTCAAGTTTTTCTTTTCACTATTGAAATGTGAGAATTTCTGATTCTTTCATCAGTTTAACCAAAAACAAAAATACAAACGTATCCCACACTCAATCTGTCATTTCTTTCTGTAACAGCCAAAAGGCTGAATTTTTAATATTATTTCTGCCTTTGTAGTGGACCACGCTTCAGTTTGCCTGTGATGAAAGACATATTTGCATCCCTGTATGTTTTATTTGCTTCTCAAAATTTTAATTCAGTTTTTTCCAATTAAACTGAAGTTCAATATCAAAAGAAGTAATCAAATTCAGACTTGATATTTTTCTTAAGCCTCCAGGTGTTACCATGGATACAGGCTAATGACTGTAGAGCCAAATTCTTCTACCAGAAAATGAGAAAATACGTTTCATAACATTTCATGTTTTATATTCCTTGTACAGTAAAGCTCAAAAACATGCTGGTTTCAGGGAATGACTACTTTTTGGTATTTAAGTAATATGAGGATTTTGTCGGCTTACTGTCGGCTCCAACATGTGCTCGGTGGAGATTCTGTTTGTTTTTACCTTAAATACATTACACAATACTTGTCCTCACTCTCACAAGTCACCACCCGATGTTTGTGGAGAGGGGTGATTATTGGCAAAAAGACATAAGATTTGAGGGTAATAGTAGAATGACCTGGTTTGCAGTGGCTTGAATTTTTTTAATACTGCACACACCTGTTCTGGAAGATTTTATCAAACATTATAACAACTTCATCTACTGAAACAGCATGTTCTAGTGGTTCAACAGAGACCCATACAAGTCTTCCTCTGAGCTTCAGTGCAGGGCAGTGAGGCTCAAACAGCAACACACTAGATTTCATTTATGTGCACTATATCTTACTACAGCTGGAGTACAGATTTATGAGGATGAGGATAATGAATAATAAATTCACATTAATGCTGCAGACGCTGAATGAATGATAATTCAACAGATGAAAAGCTCTGTGAGTGCAATTCCACTAACCACAGTAATATCTTCTTAACTGTGAGTGTAGAGCATCGACTCTTAATCTAAAACACAAAGACAAATAAGTATATAAAATTACACAGTATACGTATCCGAAACATAGACACACCTACTGGCAGCAGGTAACTGATTTAACAAAAGAAGATAAATAATGTCAGAAGAACACTTTAATCATAAGTGGGATAATAAGTGATCCCCTTTAATTGATTTTTAGTTTTAGTTTTTCCTCTGATTTATCACTCCGATAATTAAATT